AAGCTGCCCAAATTTCCGAGCCGTATAGTAGAATAGGCATAACAGAACTACAAAACAGTTTAATTGCATTAATTGGTGAGGCAATAATGTTGTTTAATAGCAGAGTTTGTTTTAGGACCCCTAGTGCTCGCTGTGCTTTCTTTACAAGGTTATTAACAACGACTGTAAAATTGCCACTATTCTGAAAGGTGATCCCTAAGTATGTATATGAAGATACTACTTCTATTTGTTCATCGCCTAGAAAAAAGATGTCAATAATTTTTCTCCCCCTTTTGTTGAAAATAATAACTTTTTTTTTGATGTTGACAGTCAGTTTCCACTTTTTGCAGTAGTCATTAATGAGATTTAGACTGTCTTGTAGCCCAGAACCTGAATTTGACAGTATGACAATGTCATCCGCAACGAGTAGACAGTTAAATGACATGTCATACAGCCTGACAGGTTCAGTTTGTACTAGACTTTCAGATAAATCATTGATATAGATATTAAACAACAGGGGACTTAAATTGCACCCTTGTTTAACATCACTAGAAGACATGAAGGGTTTACAATAACCTTGGTTAGTCTTGATGGCGTATTTAGTATTACTATACATTGATTTTATCAACATATGTTGAATATAATAGGATCTTCATTTTATTTTTTGGATTGCATTCAAAATGTCCATCTGGTAGCCATTTTGCTTGCAAGAAATGCAGTTCCTGAACCATATATTTAACATGCCTAGATTCAAACTTACATCAGACATCATATTAGCCATTGTAATTTGATTAATTTTTATCTGTAATTTGTTGTTGTTGTAACCTTTAACCTCCTTCAGTAGGTTGTTATGAGTTAATAAAAAATTGATTGTGACATATTGACACTTCTATATTTCAAACATGCCTGGACTGTTCAAGTCTATATATATTTATAATGCGTCTTTACAACCGGGAATATGTCATTGAAAATGACTTAATTGTTTACTTGGAACTTGTGTCTTGCACAGGAGGTAGAGTTCATTGCTGTTGATCAAACCACTTGGGCAATTAACCAGATCCTTGATGATTTTTCAGGTAAGTGTTCACAAAGACCAACAGCTTTTGGAAATAAAACAGTAAATCAAATTTCTAAAGCTAAAACTGAAATATTAAGCATAAATATAAATTTGAAGTCAATCTGCATGATGTTTTATTTATACAATATCTGGGACACACTGTTGCTCTGAGATTCAAGTATTAAAAAAAATACTACTGTAGTATATTTGGAATGATTAACTTTGACTTATTAACCAGTGTTTTATGGAAGATGTTCTATTACCGTAATAGTGTGTTTATTTGTTCAACAGATATAGGTGGAGTGCTGGGCGTGGCTATTAAAGATCAGTTAGGAGAAAACGTACAGCCTGCTATAGATAGTATGATTAATATGGTTGACAGTAAGTATTACTGATGGTTTATATTGAATGTCAAAAAATTGCACATTTGATTTGGTTTGATTGATGCAATTTGTGCTACTTATAAGTACTCAAGAAAACTGCTTTCTCATCTTTGGTTTGCTTGTAATATTCCTGAATTGCCAATATTCCTTAGAACAATTGCCAATTTTCTTTAGAACAATTGCCAATGTTCCTTGGAACAATTGCAAATATTCTTTAGAACAATTGCCAATTTTCCTTTGAACAATTGCCAATGTTCCTTGGAACAAGTGCAAATATTCTTTAGAACAATTACCAATATTCCTTGGAACAATTACCAATATTCCTGGGAACAATTGCCAATATTCCTAGGAACAATTGATAATATTCCTTGGAACAATTGCCAATATTCCTTGAAACAATTGCCAATATTCCTGGGAACAATTGCAAATATTCCTAGGAACAATTGATAATATTCCTGGGAACAATTACCAATATCCTTGTAACAATTGCTAAAATTAGTAGGAACAATTGCGAATATTCCTAAGAACAGTTGCCAATATTCCTGGGAACAATTTCGAATATTCCTGGAAACAGTTGCCAATATTCCTGGGAACAATTTCGAATATTCCTGGAAACAATTGCCAATATTCCCTGGAAAATTGCCAATATTTCTTGGAACAATTGTCAATATTCTTTGGAACAATTGTCAATATTAGTAGGAACAATTGCGAATATTCCTAGGAACAATTGGCAATATTCCTGGGAGCAATTGCGAATATTCATGGAAACAGTTGCCAATATTCCTTGGAACAAGTGCCAATTTTCCTTGGAACAAGTGCCAATTTTCCTTGGATCAATAGCCAATGTTTCTTGGAACATGTGCCAATTTTCCTTGGAACAATTGCCAATGTTCCTTAGAACAATTGCCAATATTCCTTGGATCAATAGCCAATGTTTCTTGGAACAAGTGCCAATTTTCCTTGGATCAATAGCCAATATTCCTTAGAACAATTGCCAATGTTCCCTGGAACAATTGCCAATGTTCCTGAAACAATTACCAATATTCCTGGAACAATTACCAATATTCTTTACAACAATTGCCAATTTTCCTTGGATCAATAGCCAATGTTTCTTGGAACAATTGCCAATTTTCCTTGGAACAATTGCCAATGTTCCCTGGACCAACTGCCAATATTCCTTTGAACAATTGCCAATGTTCCCTGGAACAATTGATAATATTCCCTGGAACATTGCCAATATTCCTTGGACCAACTGCCAATATTCTTTGGACCAACTGCCAATATTCCTTAGAATAATTGCCAATTTTCTTTAGAACAATTGCCAATTTTCCTTGGAACAACAGCCACTGTTCCTTGGAACAATTGCCAATTTTCCTTGGAACAATTGCCAATTTTCCTTTGAACAATTGTCAATATTTTTAGGAACAATTGCCAATATTCTCGGAGCAATTGCCAATATTCCTGGGAAAAATTGCGTATATTCCTGAAATCAGTTGCCAGAATTCCTTGGAACAATTGCAAATATTCCTTGGAACAATTGCCAATATTCCTGGTAACAGTTGCCAATATTCCTTGGAACAATTACCAATATTCCGGGAAAGAATTGCTAATATCCCTCGGAACAATTGCGAATATTCCTTGGAACAGTTGCCAATATTCCTTGGAACAATTGCTAATATTCCTGGAAACAGTTGCCAATATTCCTTGGAACAATTACCAATATTATTGGGAACAAATGTCAATATTCAAGGGAGCAATTGCCAATATTCCTGAGAACAATTACCAATATTCCGGGGAAGAATTGCTAATATCCCTCGGAACAATTGCGAATATTCCTAGGAACAGTTGCCAATATTCCTTGGAACAATTACCAATATTCCGGGAAAGAATTGCTAATATTCCTGGAAACAGTTGCCAATATTCCTTGGAACAATTACCAATATTATTGGGAACAAATGTCAATATTCAAGGGAGCAATTGCCAATATTTCTGAGAACAATTACTAATATTCCGGGGAAGAATTGCTAATATCCCTCGGAACAATTGTGAATATTCCTAGGTACAGTTGCCAGTATTCTTGAGAACAATTGCTAATATTCCGGGGAAGAATTGCTAATTTCCCTCAGAACAATTCCGAATATTCCTAGGAAAAGTTACCAGTATTCCTTGAAGCAATTTGCAAACATTCCTTAGAACAATTGCCAATATTTCTTGGAACAATTGCAAATATTTCTTGGAACAATTGCAAATATTTCTTAGAACAATTGCCAATATTTCTAGGAAGAATTGCCAGTGTTCCTTGGAGCAATTGCAAATATTCCTTGAAACAATTACTTTTAATACTGCTGTTTTCCAGCATTGAAAATCATTGTGCTCAGCAGTATGGGTCTTTACAATTAAAATTAACAAATTAATAAATACACCATTGGCAATATACTGGGTTCAGAGTGAAATATATTGCTTGGAATGCAATACCAATAATAAATATGGAAGTTTGCAATACAATATTTTTTGAACAATGTATTTTTTTTTGTTCATTCCTGTTGCTAGACTTAAAATAATAGTGATAGTGATAAAGGAATAAACCATTGCTGCATTGGGTATATCACAAGAGATTACACAATTCACAACATATGTGCACAATTTCAATTTAAATGCTAAAATGTGCAACCATACTTTGGTTTATTTACTGTGTAGTTTCTTTTTATGTTAGCAGCAATATAATACATGTAAAATCATCTTAATCCACATAAATTTTATTTTAGACATTCAAGTAACCAACGATGGTTTGAAAGAGTTAGATGTCCTTGCTGGTGTTTTAAACACTGACTATACAGCCTATGCCACAAGTGTGAGTGATTTCAAAAGTGACTTGGATACTGAGTTCACTTCTTGTGGCACAACTAATTGTCCATCGGAACGTCCTGATACCAGTGTTTTGACTTGCAGTCGAGATTTTAGTATGTTTGTAAGTATAACTTGTTTATATCATCACTTCCAGTCACTACCACTATTTATTTATTAATTAATAATGGGTTATATAATCCGCTGCTAACCTTTGACACAGTGTGGCATGCTGGGATCCCAGATAAAGTCAGATTTTTCAGAATGTGAATTTGAAAGCTCGTAAGTACAAGTCTTTATCATTGCTTGTGAGTGTCACCTGAGCTGCGTTTGCTTTACCGACTGTGGCTGTATATGCTTCAGCGATGTGTAAATCAATTGTGAACGAGATTCCACTATCCAAGTTATGCCAGTACTCGTCTGACATCAATATGATCAGCAACAGGTCATGTTATTCTACCAAGAAGTCACAGATAGACTATGTAATGATCAGTATTCCTCTTTCCGTCAAAGAGACATTGTCTAGGAATGTGGAGGGTCTACGTTTTTAGTATTTAGCAATACAGAAGGATATCCTGTTTAGTATGGCTTCTAAATCATCACTATTGGTTGCCCCATCTGTGTCTACGTCTAGCTATGTGGAGTTGGTCAAGTCATCTGAGGATCACATCGCTTCAGGGAAGCCATCGCAGCAAGCAATTGTGGCAGTATTGTTGCGGCTGTTTTTTTTTATGGTTAAAGCTGTGTTTTCAAATTACGTAAGCCTTTAATTCTCACAAACCAATTTCATTATTCAACCCAAAGAGGCTGGAAAGACTGTATAATCAACTGAGGAATTGTTCCATACTTCAACTTGATATGGTCAGTTTGCTAGTTTGTTTCTGCGGTTGTAATGCAGCAAGTATATTGAAGGACAGAATCAGAAATTGATAAAAAGACACACCTGTTTAAATCATTGGTGGATAGGGACAAACAGACAATTTCCCCACCACCAGAGACTGA